ATGTGCGCAATCAGCTCCATCTCGTCAGACGATCTGATGATCTGATATCCCGTGATGACATGTACCCCTGTAGCATTTTCCATCACAACAGGATTTTGCTTGTGCGACTATCCATATCTCCTCCCTCAGACTTTCAACATTCACAACCCGCTCGAGCGTAGATCGAGGGGATGCTAGTACAGGGTAGTATTGGGAAGCTGGGGGCCGAGTTTGAGCAGCCAGTGCGCGAGGCAATAACGTATTAGCCCACCACTCTACCGGTCATGACCTACAGGTATGATATCTACCCGAGCGCTACAGTTGCTTTTACGCCCGACACCCACTCCCCCCCACCCAGTGCCAGATAGTCGGCAACTCCAAGTATCAATACTCAGTGAATGGACAATGAAAACCCATATTGCACTTGCACTCCGGTTCCTCCACCCCCCTTTCTCCCTCTCCTCAGAAAACAGTTTCACTATGGACCGGATTCCTAAATTGGTGTGATGGAAGCAGTCACAAATAGGATTCTGCCCTTACAGGCATCGACGCCACCCACAGACAACTAACTATCCGAGTATCTTTTTTGTGATACCGTAGAATCTCAAATAATTAGACCTTGTGCTAGGTACTCGAGTGCCGGTGGTCCAAAATTTCGTTCTTCGGACCAAGGGCGAAAAAAAGTGCAAAAGGTATCACCCTCCAACCTGAGGGACAAAAAAAGCCAAAAAGAAGCACCAGACCTTGCCAGAGGAGGTAACTCGAACGACGTAGAATATCACACGGTCCAATTATTGGAGATTTTACGGTATTCATTGAATTGTAGAGTACAAGAGGCATCACACAGCGACTACCGTGAAAACTGGTCAAATCCACCACCTACCGAGACCCCCCAGCTCTCGCAGTTGGGGACAAAAATCCCCGGGAGGGAACAGTGTTCTACAGACGCCGCATAGCTGGGACGAGTTGGGCTTGCTGGATCTCATTAGCGAGGCTCCACCCCATCGTGCACATTGCCGGGTGGGGGGGTTGGCAGGGATTGAAGGGGAATGAAACGGCCGCTTTGGATCCATTATTTTTACTGTCGAAGCAGAACCAGCATAGGGCACGGTTACAGGCCACACACACCCACCGCCCCAGTGAAACCCCAGGGAACGAATTCGAACCGGCGATCACCGGCGGCGCGAGCGGTACGATGCTGTACCGTTCTCTACGTTAACCAATATTTTTATCGCGCGAACCGGGTTAAAAGCTCGGTTAATTTCTCGTAAATAGTGACAATAAAGCACCATGGAAAGGTAGACAGCCGGGGGTGGCAAGCACCACCGAGGAAGTTCTCAAGCCTTCCTATGTCGGGCCAACAGCTTGGTTCTTTACCCCATTAACCCACACGTGGGTCTGGGGGTACTGGACGGCAGTGCCTTCTCTTGCTGTACCCGGTCATCCGGCTATGCACAAGTACTCGAGTAAAATCCTTTGGCAGAACCTGATTGGAGGCTCTGGCATGGCAGACGATCGGAAGTTCACCGCGTTCGTTACAACCAGGGTTGGGGTTGTTTCGGGGGTGGGCCAATCGCGCCCCTTGGAGCCCGCTCGCGGAAGGCTTCATTGTATGAGGAATTAGGCACTGGGGCCTTTTTCCATCGGAGAAGTCCAGTTCCCTTTGGTTTCCATCGGGTTTGGCATCGGGTCGGGGGTTTTGTATCCCCGTGCGAAACTTTGCGCGCGATCGATCTACGTTTATGGTCGATTCGGCACGGTTACGGCCTCTTTGATGGGGCTCGTCTGGTCGGGGCAGGCGGGGGAACGGGCCCACGAGGTTTTTGAACAGTTCTGGTGGCGTCTCAGAAGGCGCCTGAGCCACGTTGGGGCTGAGCCCAGGCTGTTCAGGGTTGGGGGGGCGCTGCGCCGCGTGGTGGCGTCCAATGGATTTGGTGGTTGGGTTCGGGGGCCGCCACCTTTGGGTGGTGGCGCTAAATTGTTTTGTTTCTTTTGTTGTCCTATCGTGGGTGAGCCTACGCTTGGATGGAGGAGGGTTTGCGAGGCCGTTTCCAGACGGTTTTGTTTGTGTGGGATTGCCCGTGTGCTTGTAGGCTGCTCGCACTAGTGTACGCGGCCTTTGGGTGGTACTTTCCAGATGTACTATGGGCTAGGCGGGATTTTGTGTTGGGTTGGCTTACCTCATGGAACGTAACGCCTTGGGATAGAGGGCCTGATGGAATGCTTCCCTCCAGTTAGAAAATTTATTATATTTGGCATGGGTGTCTAGAGATAACAGTACCGTGGTGCGTAAGTTGCAGTGCGGTACGGTAGAATCTAACTTCTGCAGACTACTAGTACAGTACACGTGAATACTTGTTATGATAACCAGGAACTCAAAAAGCCTAAACGGTTGTTCATTGGTTGAACACATTCCTCCCCGGGCAGGGGTCCGCAGAGTAAACCCCACAATGGGAACGCCCAGTGCCACCCGTGTGGGTCTCCGCCAAATATCATAAATATATTACTGGTATCGAGTTCCTGCGAGTAAGTAAAGTACCCTGCAACTAGATGTGCTCGCCAAATTTTTCCCAAACCCACGTGACTAATCTCTCTTTCTGCCGCACTCGTTATCGTACTGTACAGTTGTTGGAAATTACGTTATTCATTTCCTATCCGGTGATGGGGCTGTGTTGGTCATATAACACAGCCACATGACCGAGTATATATGCTATTGTATTCTAGCATCTTCTAGAGATTTCCTTGGTATGAGGCAGTGCTTGTGTAACGATAAAGGGGTATATAAAGGGCAGGTTCAGCCCTGTTCTTAGAAAGAGCACGCAAGCTTGGATTAATCTGATTTTATTGTGGTTATCATTGTTACTTCGTTATCACAACAGTTAGTACAATAGATACAAATATTTTCAACAGTAAGTTGATCCAAATAGACTAGACTACGGGCACCGTATGGAGAGCCGAGGAAGCTTTATCACCTGACAACGCGAACCCTTGACCCGTTGAATCCCTGTAATCACGCAATCATGACATCGCACCCCGGTTGCTTCCAACCAGCTATTCCCGAGGGATCGTCTGCGGCTCTGCGGGTCAAAAGCTTGGCAAACTTTATGATCTCATTTAATTACCCCACCCTCCTCCTCTTCCTCCTCTTCCTCTTCCACGACAAACACACCCCCATCTCACCAAACCAAACCAAACCCCTCGGGAAGCGAGAAGGAGGAAATGTCATCCATGTTCGATCTCTCTGGAAAAACCGCCCTGGTCACTGGCGGGACCCGCGGTATCGGGCAAACAATGGCTTTGGCATTGGCGGAAGCCGGGGCGGATATTATTCTCGTTCAGGTACTCAAGTTCCCCCCCCCATCGCACTGACCGTAATGGATATGTTAATCCTCATTGAAAAAAGCGAGACTCCAAAAACATCTCTACGAAAGCGCAAATCGCCGCCATGGGGCGTGCTTGTATCATCGTCAACGCAGATCTATCCTCCGATGCGGAAGTTAGCACCTTGATCCCGGGCCTCATAGCGGACCCCTCATCTCTCCCCAACCAGCGGATCGACATCCTTCTGAACTGCGCGGGGATCCAACGCCGTCATCCATCCCACCAATTCCCCACAAAGGACTTCCAAGCCGTCATCCAGGTCAACTTGGCAACCGTATTCACCCTCTGCCGTGACATAGGCGCCTACTTCATTGGCAACCAGATCCATGGGAGAATTATAAACGTGGCCTCCGTGCTCTCATTCCAGGGAGGGCTTACCGTTCCCGCGTATGCTGCGAGCAAAGGTGCCGTCTTGCAGCTCACCAAGGCGCTTAGCAACGAGTGGGCCGGAAAGGGGATTGGCGTCAACGCGATTGCCCCTGGGTATATCGCTACGGATATGAATGAGGCGTTGATAAAGGATGAAGCCAGGAGCAGGCAGATTATGGAGAGGATCCCGGCTGGGAGGTGGGGGCGTCCAGAGGACTTTAAGGGGCCTGTTGTGTTCTTGGCGAGTGAGAAGGCGAGTGCGTATGTTAGCGGGGAGTGTCTAGTGGTTGATGGCGGGTGGATGGGGAGGTAGATTGTGTCTACATATTAACGGGTTCCTTGCGAAATACATCTCTGCTCTCTAATTGTTGGGGGTGGCGGCCGGGTGAAGAGCTGTGCTGTGCTGATTCTGATCCTGAATGATTAATTAATGTGATGGTCGAGATGGTTGAACAATTGCTATTGCAAATTCCCAGATACACAGAAGTGGTGAACATTAAGGACTGGGCTCCTGTCTCCCATCTACCTCGTCAAGCTTTTGGAATCTGCATATTCACCTGCCTCACGTTCCCGAGCTACACATATCCAGATGTCCCCATTATTGACTCACCAAGCTTTATGCTTCTAGAGCGTAGAAGCACCTTAAATTAACCCTGAACTCTACTAGACCGGGACCTGGGACCCTTTTCCATCAAGTTTGGGACGTGATCACATCCCCATGATATTTCCAAGATGCCACTCGCTATTACCAGATGCAGGGTCCCAGGGACAACAGAGGAGCCTCACCCCATTTATGCCCTTATCCTTATCATGGTAATAGCGGATCGACTGCAGTTTCAAATGATTGAAAATCTCTCGAAAATTTTGGGATACCCACAAATCCCCTCATATCCTAAAATCACACTTTGAAACCTCCCCTTGCCCGTCGCGCCAAGAGTTGCTGGAATGCCTAGATTGGCATCACAGGGCACAGTGTCTGGTGTGGGGCCCTGCACCGCAACCTAACGCCTATGCAACGACGGAATCCTGCTCTTGGCTGACGCAGCTCGTTACCCTCGGAGTCCCTTCCCCCGCAATTTCCTTTCTCCACGACATAAATAACCACCACATCCCACCTCAGCCCCATCGCGATCAAGATACGAAAAAAAGAAAACTGTCCAAAATGTCCACCCCTGGAGAAGAAAAAGTCAAAATCTCGCTGCTAACAGCGGCAAAAACCCTTGAGCGGACCAGCATCCCCTTACCCCCGCCATCCCCAACCGAGCTGCAAGTTGCGATCCGTTCCACAACTCTCTGTGGATCCGACCTGCACTATTACAATCACTATCGCAACGGCGACATAATTGTCAAAGCTCCCTTGGTCCTCGGGCACGAGTCTTCCGGTGTTGTCACGGCGGTTGGAGAGGGTGTGAGGGAGAAATGGAGTGTTGGTGATCGAGTTGCGCTGGAGGTTGGCGTTCCGTGTGGTGAGTGTGGAGAGTGTAGTTCCGGCCGGTATAACATTTGCTCGGGGATGAAGTTCAGGAGCAGTGCTAAGGCGGATCCGCATTACTGGGGAACTCTCCAGGAGAAAATTAACCATCCAGCGAGATGGTGTCACAAGTACCTCTCCTCCTACCCCCCCCCCCACCTGATCCGGGGAGGCTCACAAAGTACACAGACTCCCAGATAATGTCTCGTTCACGGCGGCGGCCCTTCTAGAACCTCTCTCCGTCGCAATCCACGCAACCCGTCGCGCCCGCAAACTCGGCACCTTAGGTCCCAGCAGCTCAGTCCTAGTCCTAGGCGCGGGCGCAGTCGGCCTCCTAGTCTCAGCAATGTGCAAACTTAGCGGTGCATCAGAGATCGTGATATCAGACATAAATACCGGTCGCACCTCTTTCGCTGTGGAGAATGGATTCGCAACGCACGTGCATCGCCCCACCATCAGGCAAAAACGTCCGGAAACAATTGAGGAGAAATTGGACATTTCTAAGGACTCTGCTAACACCGCGAAAACTACGCTGGGTAGGGAGGAAGGGTTCGATGTCACGTTCGAGTGCACCGGAATGGAGATTTGCACGCAGACCGGCATCTACGCTACCAGATCCGGGGGAAGTTTGGTGCTCCTCGGCATGGGAAATCCTATTCAGACCTTGCCAATTTCGGCTGCGGCGTTGAGGGAGGTGGATATTCTTGGCGGGTTTAGGTACGCTAATACCTATAAGGAGGGAGTTGAGATTGTTTCTTCCGGGTTGATCCCTGCGCTGGAGGAGGTTGTCACGCATAAGATGACCGGGGTGGAGGGTGTGCAGGAGGCGTTCGAGATGGCCGGGAGACAGGTGGATGATGCGGGGGCATTGGTTATCAAGGTTGAGTGTGCTTTTGAGGGGGATACTTAGGCGTGCGGGGGGCTACGAGGCCGGTCTATCTAGGATTGAGATTAAATATATGGTTTCTCACTTGTTGCTACCGGTACCGAGCGTCGCAGCCGGGTATAAGTAGATTCGGTCTTGTATACTCTGTCCATACTCCACTCCATAACAAAATATGTGTATACCGAACGAAGCTCTCCAGATATGGTGAGTGAATTGTTAGAAAACATCGTAGCCTACCCCGCGCTTACCACCCACCAACTTAACGACCATGACGCCCGTAAACCATTGGCCGTCAACAAATTATTGGCGAAAAGGATCCCCACTCTGCGCCGAAATTCTTTCTAAAGGGAGGACCCTGATAAAAATCACTGCAGGTTCCCGAAAAGCTACCCAGAGAACACGGGCAGTCCAGTACCACCAAATAAGTCATTGAGCACACTCCCCCCCCGCGAAAAAATCTCAAACCCCCCTTTCCCGCTCTATAAAAACGGAGTCTACCCACCGGGGAAACAACAAATCCCAAGAACCTCCACCCCCCGAACACAACACCAACAATCTATCACTAGAAATGAAGCATGTATGGTGCTACGATAAAGAAGAACGGGAAAATACAATACAAGACGGGGTAAAAAAGCGATAGGGCGAAAAAATTGCCCGAGAAGGTAAACGAACATCGAAAAACAATCGGAGAGCACGCGTATATATAACGCTGTTGCGGAAGACGTGGTTTTTAAATCCCCTGTATGAATGAATTTTTCGGATCGTGGTGGATGATTTTAGAATTATGATACTGTATGTTTTCTTTTTTTTTTCTTTCTCATTTTCCTTCGTTTCCTTTTCTTTCCTTTTTTCTTTCTTTCTTTTCCCTCGGGTGGAGAAAAAGTGGAATAACTTGTACTATAATATTATCATACTTTGGTAGGGGGAGGGGAGTTGGGAATACTATTAAAAATTCAAATAGAGGTTATAAACCATCATAGAAAAAAAAACCCCCATGGAGTCATGGAAGAGGATGATACGTATCGAGATCAAGTCCTGGTTTTTTGCTTTTTTTTTTTTTTAAAAAAAAAAGTAGAATAAGCGATGCCCACAGCGCATTTGAGCATTGTCGATTTTGTCGCACAAATCATTGGTATTGCCGGTATCATACGCGGGAGGGAAATACGCTTGGAAAGCTGGTGCTTTGTTTTTGTCGTACTTGAAACTTGGGCGGTGAAGGACAATGTGTCATATCAACCATAAGGACTAAAAACATGCTGAATGATACCCCAACTCCTCACAGTATTGCTTCTTCCAATTTCCGCTTATTATTTGATGTAATGTATGACTAGGTGGAGTTCTCTATGCAACTTTGAACGGAGGGTAAGGAAAACTTTGTTACAACATATGTGTAGCTCTGACATGTCTGTTTCCATGTGCTTTTGGTTTTCCCAGGATACATACTTGTAAATAGCCATAATCTCGCATTGGACTTGGGGTCCTAAAAACGAGTTGTCGACCCCCGAGCCGGCAGTTTAAGGCCACCAACAAGCTCCGAGTGACGACTCATGAATATATTACCCTACTTTCAATCCAACTGGCACCACCAAGATCCCGCTCACCCCCTTCCCAACCCGCCCACCACCCACCGCCCACCGCCCACCACCCGCAACAATGGGGATCCGCCGCCTATACACGAACCTCCGCCCGTACGCTCGCCCCACAATCCTAGAGCCCTGTACGGAAATCTTCATCGACGGCCCGGGTCTTGCGCATCATGTGTACGAGAAATGCTACAGTGCAGCGCCCCCAGCCCGTCCGGAGGATGTAAACCCCTGGGACAGCGCGATACCGTACTCTGTTCTGCAAGACAGTGTGATAAAGTACCTGCACATGTTGGAATCTTGCGGTGCGAAAATGTATTTCTCCCCCCTTCCCTGCCGGGGGTGTAGGAGCCGCTAATATTGGGTAGTGCAAGGATATACTTCGACGGGGCCCTCCCGGCTTCCAAGCGTCCTACGCGCATTTTAAGGCTCGAGGAGTCACTCCGTAAGCTCTGCACCTTCCATGCATCATACTCGCACACGTTGCCGCGATGTTCAGACCGCTCCGCGCGGGAGTGGGGGGGCGTAGAGATCTTCTCCGAGAGGGCGGTGTATACGCCGCAGTCTCCGGTGCTTTCCACACCCCCGTTCCTAGTCACGGCTACGCTCGCCGCTTTAAGTCGAGGTGGGTATGCAGAGAGGACGTCAACGGTGCCCGGGGAAGCGGAAGGATATGCTGCCAGAGACGCCATAGCAGCCGGCGGAGTCGTGCTCACCAGTGATTCGGACTTGCTGTTGTTCCGCGGTGAGGGTGAAAACGACTGGGGGGTTGTTATGTTCAAAGACCTTGAGGTCAATTTCTCCACCGGGCAGATCTCCACTGTGCTATTCCGTCCGGAGGATATTGCCAAGGGGTTTGACCTGGAATTGGCGTTTCTGGGATACCTGTCCCTGTGCAATCCGCAAGCTACTTTTTCAACGCTCCGGGAATGGTGCGCGCGTATCACCGAGCGGAGCAGGAGCGGCGCTATCGTGGAAGAAATGGGTAGGAAGTGGCGGGAGTTCGCGGCCGGGTACGCGCTGCCCGAGGGCGATGGCGGGAGACTCATCGACCCGAGGATCGGAGAGCTACTATCCCTACGCGGGGCCGTGGGGAGAAAAAGGGAAATGTTCCTGCCAACACTCTGGGAAGACACGAGCCGCGCAAGCGCCTGGGACGTTGGTCGCGAAGTGCGAGCATTGGCCTACTCCCTCCTCTTCCCGGGTGAAATGTCTCTGGAAGAAATCTCTAGAAGGGGTCACGGGATTTCTGGAGCGCCCGTCGAGATCATTCTCGGAAGGAAGGCTAAACAGAAACTACACGAAATTATTTTGGAATCTCAGGAAGAAGATTGGCAGGCGAGATACGTCCTTCAGCAAATCGTCAAAACGTTCGCTGCGCGCAACAAACCCCCACCCCACGCCTCCATACTAGAATCTTCTGCCAGTCTAGTCTCCGCCTGTGCTCATACCTCCACAGACGCAACCAATAGACAAACCGCCGGTGTCCGCTGGACGTGGGAGCGCATCCAAACGTTCGCAATGCTACAGGCAGCCTGGTACTCCCTCCTCCTGCTGAGCGAAGTACTTAAGGAAACAACCAGCAGCAAGAGCGGGCTTGGCGTTCTGCCGGTTGAGGTGCTGGACGGGAGGCGTTTTGTCGACGCGCGGCCGGGGGCGGGGGCTAAATCACTGGTTAAAGAGATTTTGGCCGCATATTTTGGTGAGGAGGAGGAGGAGGAGGAGGAGGAAGAGGAGGACATGAAGGCTAGGAGAAGAATGTCTAAAGAGGAGAATCTCGAGGGGGTGTGGAAGGAGGCTAGCGGGAAGGCACGGAGGAAGAGGAGGTGGCCGGCTGAGGAAGTGGCAGAGGTGAAGGTGAAGGTGGCAGCGACTAAAGGGGGGAATATGTTTGCGGCGTTGGTGGAGTAGTGACCTGTAGGGCGTGCATAGTGACAGAGTATCATATACTGTATTGAGATATGTCTTGGGGCGTGTGTGATAGGCCATGATTCTGCCACTGCGGTTTTGGCAACTAATGGAAAATTCCCAATTACTGTACGAGTACTTACCATACGAAGGCACCGGTAAACAGTGGATAAATCCTTGAGGCTAACTAAAAAAACGACCGGAGTGCTACCGATCTATTCCCCTCTACACATTCCCGTCAGAATTTAGAACCTTGGACCCAGCAATGGCCCTGAATGTGTGCAATTCCATCTCTATCCCCATTCAATTTATGAAAACCCACAACCAATCCCATTAAACAGCAGTTATTCACGACGACAGTTAATGTCCATCCATCCTAGCCCTAATTGCCGCCATAATAGTCAAATAATAAGACAAAGTGCCCACGTCACCCGTTCTAACAAGCACTCGGCTTGATGTACAATCCAACAGGCACGCATCTAGCCGACGATGCACCATCCCAATAAATCTGGTAAACCCCATCACCCTGATCACAAGCCTGCCATTCCATCCTCCCCTGATACGCAAATTGTCCCCCAACATTCTCAAACCCCCTAGTAGACGCCCCGGGAGGCACTAACGCGCTGTGCGGGATGGTAAACCCCACGGCACGACTTTCACTCGGAAAGATGTAAAAGTCGGTCCATCCGGTGGGAGACGAATGGAAAGAGGTAAAGGATAGCCCGTCACCGCCGCTCGTGAATTCTAGCTTCTCGCTGCCGAAGTTGTACTTGCTGTTTCCGATGTAGGCAGAGCCGTTGAGCCAGTGGAGTTCGGTCCAGATCACGTTTGGCAGGCCTTGATTGCTGGCCTCGAGGGTGAATTTCCCAGGGAGCGGGTCGCGCTTGCCCAAGACAGCGGCAGCGGCGATGGAGATGAGGGGAAATGTGAGACAGGTAAGGGAGATCTTCATTTTGGGGTGCTTTTCGTGTCTAGTAAGAGCGAGTGTATTGGGTCTGTGAAGCTTTATTTAAAGAAAGTTGGCGAGGAATGGGAATTTAAAGAAAAGGGGGACGGAAGGGAGAGGAGGGAGGGAGGGCGGCTTTTATAGATATGTCGCAGGTCATGCCATACGCGTTTACCCGTGGCATGGGCGTACGATATTCCCGGTGAATCAGACCACAATTGCGCGACCCAGGGAGAAGGTATGCCTCGGCCTGCCAAAAACTATCATACCAATTAAGGACAAGAACTGAACCCCAATCATTCCTACTGGAGAAGAGCTCCAGCCCTCGACTGAATGCTTCTTCCTCTCCATTAGACTAAACCCCCAACATTGATCCATTGATCCCCTCAAGTACCGTATCCTTCGGCCCCCACGAAACCCTTGCATGGAAGCACGATCAGTTAATCTCCATTGGTCCATGCCTTAAATACGTCATTACGGGTAATCCGCAGGGATATCCAACATATCGATCTGCCAGTTGCACGTGAGGGCAATGCAGGTCTTGTGTAACGGTAGTACGTAGGGTGACTTGGAAGACAGGGATTGACCACTTGCCCCAAAGGATGCTTAGGCGGACCCTACGAGTACTGTTGCTTGAAAAACTGGAAGGAAAATGGCAATTCGTGCCTTAGACATGCATTATGGAGGAATTTGTCTGCGAATCTATGACAGGTAATGATGGCGAGAATTTTTGTTGGTCTTTGGGCCGGGGAGGCCTCCCCACAGTGGATTTACCCTAGCCCTTAGGTCTTTTTCTAGAAAGGGCTGTTCTGCGGGGCGTAGCTTATGTCCTAAATTAGAGCTTGCCCACGGAACCCATTTTTAAGGGTCAGGGTTGGAGCCATGACAGCCAAGGTTTTGGAGATGAATTATCATATTACGTCCAGCCAAGCAGCTCCCTAGATCCCTCAGTCACTAAACCTTGTCTGTGCTTCTACAAGGAAGGAAGAAAGAAGCGTTTCCTCCCATTCCTCAAGACTTTCTCAGGTCACAATACCGGTACAACACATGCACATTTACTCCGATATTTTTTCTCTATCCCGTGCAGGGCAGCGGTGAAAATGCCGATTTACTCTACTCGGGTAGATCACATCTAGCAATCACTAGGAAATAGTATTATTAGTGCTAAGAGGTTATCATTTGAATATCCGCAGTGGGGGAACATCAGCGGTGTAATAGCAGCATCGTGCGGAAACCGGCTGGCTTCCCTCCACCGGTATCCACAGAACTCTGTGTGGCCGGCAAACTCGCTGTTACAGCTTTCTGATTCCTAATCTCCCCGGGGCTGGCGAGATTGAGACGATCTGGGAGAGCTTAAACCCTGCTTGGCGACGCTGCGACAGTTTCCCGTACAGTACTCGTACAGCCATGACAATATAGATTACATTGATTAACTATATAAAAATAAAAACCCTGGCTCTTCCGTTCCGAACCGGTCACTTTTTATGAGGCAATAGAACGGAAGGGTTGTATCCAAACGGGCCCTTCCACTACCGCACTAGAACCGGGTTACAGCTACTCGTACTCCCGCGGCCGAGTTGAAGTGGCGCACCCAGACACGTGGTTTAGCGGCAGGCCAATCGCGTAAAATGTTTCTAAATATCCCGGCTCCCCGGTTTGCTGACAGATTACCAAGGTCGCCACAGTGCGTAGCTTCGACTCGACCACGCTACGGCAGCATACTCGTGCTCATGTCGACAATGCTCTCGTAACCCCTCAGGTACAAGTATATGCGGCAGTATCTCGTCATCAGGCATGGACCCTACCACCACAGGTGCTGGTTTCTGACACTCAGGATAACCGCTGCCTACCGGTACCGGTACTCGAGTACGGTTCCTGGGGGGTTGTGAGAACTTTGCGGACACCTGTGTACGAGTATGAGTCCCATACGGTACCGGTATCCACTTACGCTATGATACTGGTATGCGATATCACAAAATCTCTTGGAATCCATCAATAGACTGTCAACCCACGATAGGCTAAACGTGACAGGGTACCGTCAGATCTGGAACACTTGAGCAGGGCGCTAGGATGTCCAGAATTTCCCCCTTTGGATCAGGCGGAGAAGCACAGACCCCAGTTGGGATAAATAAAAAGAAATGTAACGGGCTTTACCAGGTGAGACAGCTCCAACGTCCTGATGAGGTTTTCAATCAGTCTACGGTATTGGTATTCTAGTTGCGGGAGGAGGAGTGTTGTGTAATATCGGCCGACCGGATCCGACACATCCGGCGCCCCAGATCTTATTATATCACGTGTCAGGAAAAACGTTAACCCTTCTGAGGTGTTTCTGTCTTGGAATCCGGAGATTACACTTGCTGGCGGAGATACCAGTTGTGGATCCCTGGCGCTTCTTCGGTATTTACCGAAATGCGGGGAAATTCAGAACTATTGCCAAGGCACGGAATGATAAGCGGTGCTTGAGCAGATCTCAACAACCCTGCGCCAAATGAATCCAAGTTAATTTACGGTACTCGAACAAGATAAAACATAAAACAGTCAAGCTTTTCCGTAACCCAATACGAGTACTCGAGTATGTTGATTCGGACTCGAAGGGACTAGGGGCAACTACCGCAGAGTAATATGAAGATCTATTTTGAAGGTTCTAATCCCTTGCGCACGCCCTTCATTGGATTTCCAGACCTAACGCCCTCGGGTCAGAGTCATGCGTAGGGACTCCCAGACGGAGTAGTTGCTCACTGCCCTGATGGCGACTGCTGCCATAACTACACTCGCATAGACCACCGGTATCTCCTCGACTACCAAAGTGGAGGAAATTTTTGTCCCACCCCTCTCAGTGTCCAAGGCAGGGGTGAATTCTACCGGTACCTGTACCTCCCTTAAGTGAGGACCATGGCGGGTACAAGTACAGTACATACGATCGTGCAGCTAATATTAACTATGGTCCTGCCTTCGCACACCTACGAATTCGCAGTATGACAACTGACAGAAGCTACTCTTGTTAACTTGGGTCTCTGACAGGGCACAACGGGAGATAAGTAATGATGATATCGGATCATAGCATTGGTTCTACCATAGCAAACAAGTGAATGCAAGCGAGCAAGCTCCCCCCAATCTTTCCAGCCACCAACCACGTCCCTCAGCCACAGCTTTTTTTCTCCCGGCGCCAATTCCCTTAACCCCGAACCTCTGCCTTCAATATTCTGTGGCGCCTACCACTACTCGAGTGCTCCTGGGGGTGTTCATGAAACAGTACTCAATCGCTTAACCCGATTTACTGATCCCTGTCGTTGATTCCGGGCTTGGCTGAGATATTTCTCATTCGGGCACTGTTGCTCCGCTCTCAGTTCATTTTTCAGATTTTTCGGGCATGACAAAGAAGGCCAGTTACACGAACCAACCATATGCCGTTATTCGAGACAAAGTCTAGCTTTATGCTAGCAAATTTAAGCAGCCTGCTTTTCTCGCCTACCGCGATCTACGGTGCGAGTTGTAGCCGCTGAGTTGTAGCCCTGCCACACCTTTGAATTATGATAGCTTGACGGATTTGACGTGGCATCTCGGTCTCCCAGCCTCCCCGCACGCTCCCTGATAAAATTTTATCTCCCCGTTTGCAAATTCCATCCCTCTCCTGTCCTGCCTTTGTCACGACGATAACGCTTTGCTCTAATATGCATGGTCCGTATTTCTCAAGGTGGATTTATTCTATCTGGATAACCAATTCGCAGTTCGCTGACGCAAGGCGCTGCAGTACCGGGAGCTTCACAACGTCGTTTTAATGTGTTTCGGGAAAAAGGAGTAAGTTCCTTGCTGCGAAGCATGAGTTTTTGGCCGCTAAAATTTGTTCATGTTCAGAAAACCCCAACCCCGCGATAGTAGGGATGTGGTTAGTCAACCGGGGGATGATGGGCCGAGACAAAAGCCTAGAAACACTGGCAGCGCAAACAATCGAAAGAAACCTGGCTCGGTAGCCGGAGCTGTGAAGAGTGGGCCAGGGGGTCAACCTAGCGGTAGTGGGAGTGCGGCGGCCAACAGCCCCCATAACGCGCAGATTCGACAGAAACCTGGTTCGGTAGCCGGAGGTACGGAGAGTAGTATAGAGGATCAACCTAACAGCAGTGGGAGTGCGGTAGCCAAAAGCCCCAATAGCGCACGCCTGCGGGAGGGGTCTGGTTTGGCGGTCGGGGGTGCGGGGATCAGGCCAGGGGATCAACCTAACGGCAGTGGGAGTATGGTAGCCAACAGCTCCGATAGCGTGCACCCCCAAAAGAAGCCGGACCTAGCAGCCAGAAAGGCGAAGAGTAAGCCAGGGGATGGTAGTAGCGGTGTGAGGGATGATGGGCTGGTGATGACGGATGGCAGCGCTCCACAGAGCCCCAGTGCGCCAATCAGGAATGTGGGGGGTCATTCAATGGGTGATGGACCAGAGATCACGCCCAGTAGCCGCAGTGGTGTGCGCTCTCCGAAGAGCCCTGGTCTGGCAACCGGAAACCCGGTGAACCCGCGAGAGGATGGTGGACTGGGAATGGTGGTCGGCAGCAGCAGTGGCGCACCCCCTCCGGAGAACCCCGGTCCAGTGGCCGCATATACGGAGAGTCAGCCGGAGGATAATAGACTAGAAATCATGGCTGGTAGCAGTGGTGGCGCACACATATCCAGTAACCCCAGTCTAGCAATTAGAAATGTGGAGAGTCAACTAAAGGGCGATGCACTCGAAACGCCCGCCGACAGCGGTTGTGGTGCCCCTGCTCCGAAGGACCCCTGTCCGACAGCCAGCAATGTGGAGAGCCAACCAAAGGATGATGGACCCGAAGTGACGGCCGGCAGCGACAGTGGCGCACGTGCCCTGAAGGGCCCCTGCCTAGCAGCCAGCAATGCGGAGAGTCAACTAGAGCATGGCGGACTGGAAATGACGGATGGAAGCGGCAGTGACGCGCGTCTTCCGGAGAACCCCGGCCGGGCAGCCAACGATGTAGAGAGTCAACCGAAGGATGGCCGTCCCGAAACGACGGCCAGCCGCGACAGTATCGCACGCTCTCTGGAGAACCCTAATTCAGCAAGCAGGGATGCAGGGGGGGGTCCTA